TCTTCAGGGGTCACCACAGTGAACTAACTCACATGAAGACTTGGCAATTGTTTTACACCAGATGTTCTTCCTGACTCAATCACAGACCACTGAGCTACCACAGCCCTCTGTGTGGAGCAGAGAGCTGCTATCTAGGGTGCCCGGAGGAGCAGATGGTGGGGGTTAAGGACCTTGCTCAAGGGCCTAGAGTGGGGCAAATGAGGGTGGAGGCAGTTGTGGGTTCTTCACCTTTCCCACCCACATTTTGATGTTGTCGGTACCGGGGGTTGAACCGGCAACCTTCTGATCACAGGTTCACCTCTGCACCACCACTCCCCTTAATTATATAACATACATAATAATATTAAATTTATTGTCATTCAAAACTGAACAAGTTTTCAGTTAATTTCTCCACAGCTGTGTAAGAGTTCATAATTACATAATTATTACATAATAATTTCATAATAATTACATAAAAATTACACAATAATTACATAATAATTTCATAATAATTACATAAAAATTACACAAAAATTACATAATTTTATTATAATTACATAACAATTACATAATAATTACATAATATTTACATAGTTTCTCTCCTGTCTCAGTTTGTGCTTGAGTTTCCCTATGCTGGTGTCCAAGTCAAAGCTGTTACATATGTCAAGAAACAAGCCATCCTCAGTTATGAGATGTTATTTGTTGCATGGACATGTTACATTCAAAGAGAAAACTCTTGGTAAACCCTCTCCCTGCAGCACTGGTCACATGCAAACAGAAACAACAAATGCAGAGTACAACTGACAACAATGGACTTTCAGTGGATTATGGAGGAGTTGGAGGAGGAAGAAAAAGATCTGGTATTTCTGTTGTTAACTGAAGAGAGGCGTTCATTGGCAAATTAGTCACCAAAAGGCCGCCATAACAAGAAATGGAGCACAACAACAAGCAAATGTAGGAAACATGTCCCTACGCTGCCCATGTCTCTGTGCTGTCTGTGTCTTCATGAACAAAACTTGTGCTGCCTCCTTCTATAACTTCTTTAAATCTATTTATAAGATTGATTTGACTTTTTATGAGTGTGTTTAAATAAATCTGTAAAATGAGTGATTTTTTTGTAAATAAAATGGAAAATGTTTTTGTAAATATTAAGTGTCTCTTGGGCTATTTTTCATGCCATGGTTCCAGCTTTATGTGCAGGCAGACATCATTGTGGGTCTTAGCCATCTTAAACGGCTCATTTAAAGGCAGCTTTAAGAGTGTTTCATCTTTGCATCCATTTCATGGAAGCACAGCGTGAGAGGCTGACTGAAACATCATTCACCAATCAGATCTGTACAAAGCAATACACCCAATCCATTCTGAAACTTTTTTTGTCCACAAGCATAATCTGAGCTCAAGCAAACAGTAGAAAATATTCACATACAGCCTGACAAACACTTTAACTCACTATGTTGAAGAACATTCTCAGCACTCACCTTCCTGGATATTTAATAGAATAGGAAGCAGCCAGGAAGCCTCCCAGGTTGTGGCCCAACAGGATCATGGACTCGAGGCCCACTTTGGCCCTCCACTGTTCAATGGACTCCACAAACAGGCTCTCTGCCTCCCGAGGGTCTGTGGAAAACAGAGGTCTGGTGCTCTGCCCGAAGCCCAGCAGGTCCAGAGCAAACACAGGGCGATGCTGAGAAAGAGCTTCCAGGTTCTGGACCCAAAGGCCCACACCACACCCGAATCCATGCAGCAGAACCATAGGAGTTTTATCTTTCACACTGTCACTGCAGAAGGTCAGCGTCCATAGGTGGCTGCCATTACTGATGCGGATGAACTGTTTGGTAAAATCAGCCCTGATACCTGAAAAGAAATGGAGACATTGTTGAAAGAGTGGATTTATTCTATCTAAAACTTAACGCTGTGAGCTGTTTAAGTATGACTAATACATAACTTGATTGCTGCATACGGCATATCATACGCCTGCCGACAAACTATTGAACAGCAATACACCAACCTATAGCAAAGGCTCAGACAAGCAGCTACCTTTTATAACATGTGACCTTGATTTGTGACCTTGAACTTGGAGCTGGGGTGATGAAAAGTGTACATGAGTCTCATTTTAGTGATGATACATGAGTATGAGGTTTTGTTAAATTATCTTGAGAGGCTCAGGCGTTATGAATGGGACATTAGTAAGTTTATGGCCGTACAGAGATTATACCATAACACGTCTGCCTTTGAAGAGTGTAAAAGCAAAACACACCAAAAAAATGTGTAGTTAAGGTAGGTATATAGTCATAAGAAATGACATATTTTTTATAATCTTAAAATATACAAATCAGGATGTGCATTTATGAACAATAAATGTGGAGAGTGGTGGCGCAGAGGTTAGAGAGGTGGGCTTGTGATCCGAAGATCGCCGGTTCACGCCCCGGCCCCGACAACATCAAAATTGTGGGTGGGGTAGGTGAAACACCCACACTTGCCCCCACCCTCATTCGCCCCACTCTGGGCCCATGAGCAAGGCCCTTAATCCCCACCATGTGCTCCCTAAACAGGTCTCTCTTGAAAATGAGTTCTCGTGGCTCAATGAGACTAACCTGGATAAATAAAGGCTAAATGAAAATAAATGTTTTAGTCATACCGTCTAGTCTTAGAAATGTAGTCCTGCTAGAGGTTACAGTTTTTCAACAGAAAACAACAACAATGCGAAAAACTGGGTTAATAAATGTGTGACACTTAAAATGTAATCTTGATATGCAGATAAGCTAAATGTTTTAATTTACATAATTTACTTATTGATCATCTATTACCTATAACTTTTACTTGATACAGAATTTACACACGTCCAGGCTGCCTAATGACACAGTTTGTTAGCACTGTTGCTTGGAACTAGGACCCACTTTACAATCTACATAGGTAATGTAGGTCAGAGCATCCCTGATGCATCCTTACATTTCTATGCTGATGACACAGTTGTTTAATGTCGAGCTAAAACAGTTGCTAAGACTTTCCAGCTTTTGCAATCCGCTTTCGCCATCATCCAGTCAGATTTTTTCCGCCTCAAACTTGTCCTAAATGCCGACAAAACCAAAGGAATGTTTTTTTCTAACAGGAAGTCGGTCCCAGCAGTTCTTCCTCTGATTTTATCCTCAAATGGTGTCCCTATTGAGTTTGTCGATTCCTATAAATATTTGGGTATCTTGGTCGACTCGCATCTCTTTTAAGCTTCACGTGGAAAACCTAGTAAAGAAACTGAAAGTTAAACTGGGTTTCTTTTTCCGATATAAATCCTGTCTAACTCTAAATGCTAGGAAATGCATTGTAACTGTGACTTTCCTTCTCTCCATTGACTACAGTGCCATTATTTACATGAACGCTCCTACAAGTGTCACGCTCAGCGGCCCACGCTACCGCCCCATCTGTTTAAGCCTCTGCTCCTCATACCACAGCCCCTGTTTATAGATCATTTCCATAGATATCCAGCGTTCCCTCTTCATATCATCGTTCTTGACCATAGCTTCGCCCACGACTTTTCGCTCTCGATTTTGCCCCCCGGACTGGATTTTTCTCTGGTTTTGACCCTTGCCTGTCCCTGGATAAAGTTCTGCTGCCCAAACCCCTCCGCGTCACAGCTCGCCCATCCAGCCTCACTGCTTGTTCTTGCTCACGCTGCGCGCTGCTGCTCTGTGCTGCTCTGTGCACAGCTGCTCTGTGCACCCTTGCGCATGTTATCGGCTCCTGAGGTTCGGACCGGTACCGGGACCCACCTGGCCCATATCTCGGACTGGTTCCAGAGACAGGTTAGTGGCTTTATTCTTGTTTACTCTGCTCTGCTTACAGCCACTAATCTGTCTGTCTCCCCCAGAGCGGTCCAGTACCAGAACCAGAACCTCCTGCCAGACGCCGCCGTTTTAAAAATAAATAAACTATTAAACCTTTTTCTGAGTCTGTGCTTGTCCGATCCACCCCAATTTGTGAAAGAATTATCTGGCCAAAATATGGATCCAGCACAGACTCGGAGGTGGTGTTCTGGTAAATTGGAGGTTCAATTTACAGGCACCCGCCTGGCAATAAAGCCGGGCGGTTTTCCTCAGGCTCAGCCTGTCCTTTCGGGTGAGGCGGAGAAGAGCGAAGCCCAGCGTTGGGCTCTCCGCCTCATGAACAGGCCCAAGTTCCCGTTCCCCTTTTGTGATCAGGAGGACGAGTGGGATGAAGACGAGGATTTGTGGTTTCCTCCCTGCCAGGTCCCTCGCCCTCAGAAGAGCCGTAGGCGCACAATGCGCCGGTCCTCCCGATGTCCCGCCCCTCCGCCTTCAGAGCCCTTCCCCCAACATTTCCAGCTGTCCCACAGAGTCCCAGACCAGCTATAGTGGTCCCACAGAGTCCCAGAGCAGCTATAGTGGTCCCACAGAGTCCCAGACCAGCTATAGTGGTCCCACAGAGTCCCAGACCAGCTATAGTGGTCCCACAGAGCCCCAGACCAGCTACAGTGGTCCCACAGAGTCCCAGACCAGCTACAGTGGTCCCACAGAGTCCCAGACCAGGTGCTGTGGTCCCACAGAGTCCCAGGCCAGCTGCCGTAGTCCCACAGAGTCCCAGACCAGCTGCCGTGGTCCCACAGAGTCCCAGACCAGCTGCCGTGGTCCCACAGAGTCCCAGACCAGCTGCCGTGGTTGGCTGCAGCTGATTAATAAAACTTGGCACGCTTCACTAATAAGACAACAAGACATTTCTGAAGGCATCTAGATTACTGGCAAAATAGAACAGTTTAAAGGAAGGAATGAAGAGAAAAGATGGGTGAAGGGAGGTGTCTGTTTGGGCCAGGATGGCAAGCTTCTTCCAACACCAGCTCAAACCTCCGGTACACTTAGCGCGTCACGACTCGTTACCTTCGCAGGAGATAAATCAGCTCCGGTGTCGGGTCCATTTCAATGCTACCTTCTAGCGTCTCCGGTAAGAGCGGCTGGCCATCGTCAGGAGTCGTGTCGTTTACTCCGTTCAACAAACACACTCGTCTCCCGGGTGGATACACAGCAAGCTGTCAGTCTGACAGAGTTTCCACTCAGATGTGGAAGAATCCATCAAAGACTCAGAAGACTGAGAGGCTCAGGAGACCCACTTGAAGACTCAGAAGACTCCGGAGACTGAGAACTCAGGAGACTGAGAAGACTTCACCAGACTAGAAGTTCCAGGAAGTGTGGACTTTTAAAGAGTTCTCACATCCGGTCACTTCAGGACTTCCTGATTGGTTGAAACAACCAACAGGGGGTGGTTCTAGTGATGTCAGAGGGTTATTACAAGTCAAGAAAGTGTAAGAATGTTTAGGAACGTTTAGTACAGACTAGGGCTGTAACTAACGATAATTTCAATAATCGATTCATCAGCCGATTATTTTTTCGATTAATCGATGAATCGGCAAAAAAAAAAAAAAAAGTTTTAATTTCCACCCCTTTATTCCAAAATTGAACATTTGACTGACATAGAAATTCACACAAAAAACAGGTTGTTATTTTACTATTATGTTAGTAGAATATTGTATAATAAAAAATAAAAGTTAGTCAAATAGCTTAAAAAAATAAATGTACACAAAAATATATACAAATGTATCTTTATACCTGCACAATATGTAGCTACTTTGTAAAATGTGTCATTGAGGGAAGAGTGTAACCTGGATTAAAAGTGTGGATTATTGTAACCTGGATTAAAAGTGTGGATTATTGTAACCTGGATTAAAAGTGTGGAATATTGTAGTGAAGCCTTCGTCTTCAACCATCGACAGAGGCCTTGTGTCAGTGACGATCATTTAAGGATGTTTCAGTGAAGACAGCTGCTGCTGTGGTTTCCATGAGGTCTGTCCATCATGAAGGATGTTGTTGTTTGTTGTTGTTTTCTGGAATGAGAGAGTAAATATGTATTATATTATAATTTACAGCAACTCAAGAAATGCCTTGTGGCAAAAGTAGCTAAAAGAGCAATTAAACGCACACACACACACACACACACACACACACACACACACACACACACAC